ACAAACCCCAGATACCTGCTTTCAGCCAGTGGCGGCCTCAGAGCTGGAGCCAGCTCTCAGCTCCAGTGACAGCTATAGAAGGTAAATAAATCCCAGAATTAAAAAAAAAAAAAGAGGCTGGGAGCTTTAGTCGCCCACCAGCCTGAAAATGGCCCTCAGCCCCTCACCCAGACTGGCCAGGCACTCCAGTGGGGACCCCCACCCTGAAGTTGGTGTGACCAGCTGCAAACAGCCATCAGCCCATCATCCAGGCTGGCCAGGCACCCAAGCGGGACCCCCACCCTGATCTGGGACACCCTTCAGGGCAAACCAGCTGGCCCCCACCCGTGCACCAGGCCTCTATCCTATACTACAGGCAGGGCGGGACAGCGCGAGCTGCCATCCGGGCCCCATGTGCAGCCCTGGGCAGCGGGGCATAAGCCCTGCCTGCAGCCGGGAACCCTGTGTGCCACCTGAACCTAGTAGGGACCCCTGTGCTGCCTAAGGCCCACACTGCTAAGCCCCACCCCCAGCCGGGACCCTATGACTATTGGAGAGCAGGAAAGTGCCGCTGGGCCCTGGGTCGCTGTGGTGATCCAGCCATCGGTAAGTAGAAAAGTGCAGCCTGTAGGCAGCCCCAAGCTGTGCCTGATCCAGGCACAGGAAAGCAAGCCTGGCCTGAGGGCAGCCCCAAGCTGGGCCTGATCCAGGAGCAGGAAAGCCCGGCCTGCGGGCAGCCCCCAGCTGGGCCTGCTCCCTTGTCACCATGGTGATCCGGGAGCAGGAGAGCAAGCCCGGCCTGCAGGCAGCTCCACAGCTGGGCCTGCTCCCCGGTTTCCTACATCAAGCTTAAAAGCATCTGCACAGCAAAAGATACAATTAACAAAATGAAAAGACAACCTAGAGAATGGTAGAGAATATTTGCAAACAATATATTTGATAAGGAGCTACTATCCAAAATATATAACTTATACAACTCAATAGCAAAAAATCCAAGATTTTTTGTGTTATATTCAACACAAAATAATCCAATTTTAACATGAGCAAAGGACCTGAAGAGACATTTTCCTAACAACAGGTACAGGAAAGGTACTCAACCTCACTAATCATCAGGGAAATGCAAACCAAAACCCTAACCCTATCCCCAATTCTGAAAATCTATTTATATAGAAGCCAAGTGACTGGAATGTGTGGAACAACCAGAACAACCAGTCGCTATGATGCTCACTGACCACCAGGGGGCAGATGCTCAACGCCAGACCTGTTCCCTGGTGGTTAGTGCGCTCCCACAGAGGGAGCACTGCTCAGCCAGATGCTGAGCTCATGTCTGGTGAGTGCAGTGGTGGTGGCGGGAGCCTCTTCCGCCTCTGTGGCAGTGCTAAGGAGCAGTGAGCTGAGTGGTAAGGAGCAGTGAGCAAGGGGTCCCGGACTGTGAGAGGGGTCCCGCCCCCCAGTGCATGAATTTCGTTCACCAGGCCATTTTTTTATAAGATGCCACTTCGTTATAATTCAGATTTTTTTAACTCGACATCAGAATAGGAAAACAAATTAGTTTTCATGGTTAGAAGACATTTAACATTTTTGTATACTTGGTATTTAACCATTAATTCACTAACATCTTCAGTTTCCAAGCTTTAATTTGGAAACTGCTACATTAAACAACCAAAGTAATAATTTAACTCCCTAATTCACGTGGATGGTCATTATTATGAATACAAAGAACTTTCCTTGCTGAGATAATGCGATCACAATCCCTCTGGGAACAGTTTCTCAGTTGTGACATTATTGGCATTTTGGGCTGACTAACTCTGTTGTGGGAGGACTCTGTCTATTGTAGAATGTTTGGCAGCATCCCTGGCCTCTACCCAGTAGATGCCAATAGCATCCAAATCCACTCCACGTTGTGACAACCAAAAACGTCTCCAGGTATTTCCAGGTGTCCCCCCAGTTGAGAATACTACTCTTGCAGAGAATGACTATTGTTTTTGAGGTCTTGGTATATATCAGGCTCTTCTTGATGCTTCTAATTATCTGACAGCGTTGGTATTAACCTCATTTAATAAACAAAAACTGATGCTCAGAGTTATTCAGTAGTTTGCCTTATCCCTTTCCTAACCT